TGTATTGTGTTATTGTCCAGGGACAATCCTAGAAACTTCTAAAACGTTTAATTGAAGAAAAAAATGCGAGAGAATAGTTATAGTAAAAATCACAACTGTGTTAAAGAATGTGGCTCATTACTTATAAATTTGTCAATCACTAAGTCCTACCAGTAATCCTTAAATATGTCAATCACTAAGCTTATTGTCTTAGTTATACAATTGAAAGGTTTGGGGCAATATAATAATAAGCCACATTTTTTCAAAAAATTGCATTTTTACATCAAACTATTTGTATCATTTCCAGCACGTACTGAAAAAGTTTCTGAAATTTTATTTAGATAATAACACAATACATTGAAATATTTTGTTACCTGTGAGAAAATTGCGGTATTTTTTATCAAAAAAAAACTCTAAAAAAGCTCTCCTGAATAATTTCAAAATGCTAGAATAATTTGTTTTGTTTCCATTACGTTCTTTGCAAGTTTCTGAAATTTTCTTTAGATAACAGCACAATACATAGAAATATCTTACTGCCTACGTCAAAACCGTGGTACTTTTTTACAAAAAAATCTTTTTAAAAACTCTCTCTTGAATAATTTGAAAATGTGACATCATTTTATTGTCCTAAGTACTTCAACTTTTTTTTCCTCTTCAGAACGGAGGCCACAAATCTAAGGACAAAAAAAAACTCGTAAGTGAATTAACATTTAAAAAAAATTTTGAATTTCAAAGGGTAAAAATGTTTTAAATCCCCTTTAAAAATTTAATTTTATGTAACAAAATACAAAATTAGGGCATAATTGGTTGAATAATTTTGGAGAATGAAAAATTTAAGAACACGACATTTTTGAACAGCAAAATGCAAGTCAGCACATTGAAATTCGCAGATAGTTACAGTTGCATTTTCTTATTATTTACCTTTTTACTCCGTTGTTGAGCTTAGAATTTGATCAATTAATTTTCATTCAACCGCGTCAAATCTATGCCAAAAATCATTTTATTGAAGAAAAAAAAGACAAACTTTTTCACAATTTACAGTACACTTATAACAAAAAAATACCCTAAGTGTATTAAAACCGATCAGTGTAAATAATTATTTTTATGCTGAATTCAGCAGGCTTGTTAGTTTCTATTCGCTACAATAATCAAAAAGTTCCGTTAATAACTCTCTCACCCTCTGTAATTAATAAAAATTAGAAGAAAAATAAATAAATAAAAATTAGAAGAAAAAATATTAAACGCAAAGGGAAAAAATCAAGTATAAAAGGGTTACGCTTTCATTTTTGTTTAAAAATGATTCAGCAGTACTTTTAAATATCAATCGAACTACATAGAATAGCGAAGAAGAAACGGCTCATCACATTTCAAAACTCAGCTTCTTATTTCATAACACGTTTTCCATTTAGAAGCAAGAAAAATAAAGCAGATTATGATTTGATTCACAAAAACTCGAAACTTATATGGATCATTGCAGTTAAACAAACATCGCTTAAGGCACACTTCGCACAGTTATTAGATAAATTTAATTGATCTGAATGACCTAATGATTGACTATGGTTTGCATAAGAAAAAAATGCAAAACTATAAGAATTGTGAATTCCGGCATAGAACTCCACCTATTTCCAAAAAGAATCAATAGTACGCACGCATTACATAAATTAAGAAATAATACGCAGAAAATATTGAATGGCTTTAAAAAAAGAAGAAAAAACCTTTTTCTTATCGTTTTGGATATGCGTTCAATAGTTAATTCTTATTTTAATTTTTTTTAAGATGACATAATTTAAAAATGCTTATAAAAGCTTAATTATTGTTGTAAGGAACAATTAGAACAGCCAATACAAACTATTCATTGTAACAGGCTTGTGTAATTTAAATATACGACCTGTTTTTAAATGGATCATTACATGCAAATTATGTTTTGCTATGGACGATTTTCAACTTTAACAATTTTTTATTACTTTCTTAAAAGTTATATTTCATAAAACTTTGGAAAGTATTTAGATAATGTCTTAAGTGCCGAACAAAAAACGTGCCATTAACACATAAACAGCGAAAAACACCCGCCCCGAGTTAAATATGTTAATAGCTTTAATAAAAATAGCATAATTTCTTTTTCACCGTCAGTGTTAATGGAAAGCATTACTATAATTTTATCGAGAAAAAAAAATCTGTTCTAAGTGAACTTATGGATAATATGATAATTAAAACCATAAAAATTTACTTTTGCATTAGTCCATTTGTTTTAAAATACCGTCATACTCTTAAACTACTTTTGCAAAATAAATTTCGGGCGAAAATATTGGCAAAATTGTTGAGTCTTTTTGTCAATTTTCATGCCCTAAGTTCTTTGTTTCAGTAAAATTTCGGATCATAAACCTTATACAGCTCTACTTATACATAAATAATTTAAAGATAAATTTATACGTTTTATAACATTAATCATCTAACTCTAAACTAAGTTTTACTTATAGCAATTGAATATGGTTTAATTTTTATCCTTTCTAAAAGGGTTGTAGAAATTTTAAACATAAACGGTGCTATGGTGCCGCATACTGGTATTGGTAATGATCTAACCTTTTTCGACCTATAGGGGCAATAGCATATTGCCCAGGGGAAAGAGCGTTCGCTTCGCAATGAGAAGACCCATTTTCAAATCCAAACAATGGATGGTTGATACGAATTCTGCTCCTGGCTAGCACCGCCCACAGTGCCGATGGATTGACGGGATAAAATCCCTTGCCGTCGGGCTACCCGTGGGAGTTTTTAATGATTTTCATCTCCATGTAACACAAATGCGAGTTAGTGAAATGAAAGCTAGTATGTCCCAATGCTTGATTCAAAAAGTTCATTTTTCTTCTACGTTGAGTTCAAAACTACGAGGCTACGGAGTTAAACATTGATAATCATAAATTCGAAATTGGGTAGCATAGATATTGAACGATACTCATGTTAAGGCTGGAGAGAAGCATGAAGAAGTAGTATAACACGTAATGAAGCAGAATGAATTTTCTATCTTATCTCTAAACAGATAGGAAAATATTTTTACAATTTCTGCTACCTACTATGCTGAAATGTCCCCAACTCATACTTGTGGTAGTTTCTGCGATTTAATGGCTGACGGATAGATTTTAAATGACTACCAAAATTTAATACATAGAGAACTTTGACAATATCGCGGACATCTCTTGAAAATAGGTAAAATTAGAATCACAATACTACTGTGCAGGCAACAGTTAGTTTAATAGCATTTTTAACCATTCTTTAAAACTATGTAAATGTTTGATTTTCAAACACTTTCTTTTCAAGTTGACCTAGTAAATTGTTATGATGTCTATTATAACAAATTATAGGATTACTTTTGTTAATCCGTAATAAGCAGGAAAAAAGTAAATTCCTTTTCTTTTTTTTTTCGTTTTCGTTATACTATTTTCTAACTCTTAAAAGTCGAAATAGTGTCAGCCTTTGCTTAAACTATTGTAGTAACTTAATCTACTGTAATCACACAAAAGATAAAGATCATGACATGTTTAGTTTTTATTTTTACTTAATATATGAGGTTCTTGAAAAAAAATACCATACAAAACAATAATAAAAATATAAATATGCAAAAAAAAACTTTAAAATTTTTTTTTAAAGTAATAATGAAAATTTAGCAGTTAACGCATTTAAATTTATGCTAAAAAATGCACATTGGAGAAAATAAACTTGACTGACCTTCGCGTTTTTTTTTCATGCTTATTTTAACAATAATATTTACAATACTACAAAAGCAATATTATTTTTTATTGCTGAAGAATAACTTCCTTCACACACACAAAAAAAAAACAACTTATTATTAATAATGATAGAAAAAAGTTTGAATTCTAAGGCATATAAATGTTCACGTTATTTTTAACTCTGTTGTTTTAAATTACAAAATCTGAAATGCTAACAAAATTATTTGAACAGTTCTTGAGCAACAAAAATTTAACTTGTTGCAATCGTATGTATGCCACTACAAAGAACCATATATCTCTTCAAGTTTAGAACAATACTGTTCAGTTAAATCGATGAGCATTTAGAAATATGCAAAATTCAAAATATTTTTAAATTAACGTTTTTAATAGTTCTTAGCTTAAATTTCTTTTCAGTAGTCTGCATATTATGCAGGTTTAAAAATTAATTCTGATACGCATGAAAATCGTATGTCTACTTCCAAACACTACAAAGAACCATACTTATCTTTATGTTTAGAACAATGCTGTCTAGTTAAATCGATGGGCATTAAAGATGTATATTACTCAAAATAACGTTTTAAATTAACCTTTTAAACATCGTAACTCCAAACTAAATAAGACTTTTTTTTCCATTATCTTGCATATTTTGTTCGTTTAACAAAAATGAATTCTAGTCAACCAGGCCATCCTGGCCACTGAACTGTATTTTTTACTTTATTTTATAACTGTCGTTGAACAGCCGACCCAATTTTTAGGTTTGCGACTACCAATGTTCAACTCCGTAGCCTTGTAATTTTGAACCCAATCCAGAAGAGAAGGAAACTCCTGGATCAAGTATTGAGAGAAATTTGCTGCCTTCGTTGAGGACTTTCTGATGGAACTAACCCAGATTGATGGGTACAAGCTTGTCTGTGAAGTAAAGGCGGCCAGTGCCCACTGCTGACCGCATTACCACAATCATGCTGTTAGCCATGATCCTCTTGGCCCACAAACGGGCTGTTGCAGGAACGCTTTACTTTACATATTCTAGATTGCAGTTGCACTCGGTATTCTTAGAGACAAACATCCAATGTATCAAGAAAACAGACATGTTTAATGGCAAGAAAGTTTTTATGTGTTATTTTGTAACGTAAAATATCACCTATACTCATTAATTGAGAGATTTAAAGTCTACAGCTCAAGTAATTACGATTGCATCTTAATTAGTAAAAATAATTTCAAATCAAATGAAAATAAAAATAAAAACTTAAAAACATCATTTTAGAACTTAGATTTTTAAAAAAGGCAAACACACGAAAGTTATATAAAAAACAAAATCTTTATTAGATACAGCTTCATTTTACAAATTTTTAACAAATAAAGATCATTTTAGTCTATCACAGTCAAAAGGTGTTTTTGTAGGAAAAATGAAGGAAAATACTTTGACAAAAAAGAAGACTATACAAAAACTGGAAAACAGTCATGAAAAGAGCAGTAAAAGTGGAATAGAGTAAAATCAATAAAACACAACAATTAAAAAGTTGTTTTTTTTACCACAATCAACAAATAAATAACATGTCTACGTCTCAGCGTTATAATTGATATATAATTTAGAAATCCCAGCAGGCTGTCCTGAATCAAATATTTTATTTATTACAAAAAATAAATAAATAAAAATTTTAAATTGTTATGAGTAAGAAAACTTGTGATTTAAAAAAATTATTTTTACATTTAAAATTTAAATAAGCAAAAAGAATATGCATTTTATTTATAATTTTTTTCATATGAAAGTTTAAAATATATCCTAAATCTAAAGGTAACAAGTCTAAGAATACGTAATATGTAGACCAAGGAAAATAAAATTCTTAGTTTACATTATTTTTAAGAGAAACCAGCACATGAAAGTAAATTTTAAAAATAACTTATAACTTACATTAGAAATGAGGATCATAAATAACAAAAAACTTTTATCATTTTTCTATTTTAGAAAAAAAGTCTTATAGTTAGAGCTGGCTAAAAAGAGCTACTGTAAGACTAAAAATTATTCAAATTTAATAACGTTTAAGTTCAAGTATTTTGATTCAACTTTTACTAAAACCAAATTTAACTAAAACCTAATATTTATTCCAACTATTTAAATTATCATAAGAATGCTAATTTAAAAAACAGGAAGAAAAATAAAAATTGATTGCATAGCAAATATTTATTCCCAGAGGAATTAAGTATTAGAATCACAACTAAACGGAAGTTAATTCTGTAACTAAGTAAAATTAATGGAATCTATGGAAGAATTTTAGCGAATTAAAAAATTAGTAATATAATTATTTTTGGTATAACATACATAAGAATAAAAACAGACGATAAGAACACTGAAACATAAAAATTTTTAAAGCTCATAATGTAAAATTTCCAGGGTACAACTGCTCTTGAAAATAGTCACTGGTCAAAATAAAAAGGAGAAACATACTTTTATTTTTAAAACAACCAAATAGATAAAAATTTGAAATATTTATAATAGGCAAGTAAGAAGCGTCAAACTAATATAATATGTTATCAATAATTAGAATAAATACCAATTCCCATTATTGCATTAAAATACAACTGGATTTCATTAGTTTTGTCTACAAGATGCAATAAAAGCTCAAAAAGAACAATTAAATGTAATCACAGTATAAATATAGTAAATCCAACATGGATTTCAATACATGTAATCATATACTACTTAAAAAACGTACGATGCACTAAGAGAAAAGTTCAATCCTTTAAAATAATTTTAAAAGGGCATAAAAATTCCCCACTTAGTATATGAAAAAAAAAAATAATTAAAGTTTTCAATCTTAACAAGAAATCCTTTTCAATACAGAGTGTGCATTATTAATAAATTAATTAAATTTTTATGAGTCTTATTATTATTATCAAATAAGTTATCTAACTTTCTCAATAATGGAACTTAAAAGTTAAACTCAAAAGTTTCTTAACAGTCACATTTTAACAAATTTTGATTCATTTCACAAAAGGGTTGGAGTAGATTCAAATTTATTAGGCACTAACAATTTTTTAGCATTTGGACAAGTTTCAAAAGAAAACTAATATTTTTATTATTTTCTTTCAGTTCTTTAAATTTAAACTCAAGAAGTAGAAACTCAACAATTCAGTAATTGTTATTATTGCATTGACAATAGCTTAATAATATTAAATCAATTCTTCACATTTATTGAAATATAAATCAATCGATACCAATTATTAGAGAGAAATAATGGCTAGTTAACACACACGTTTGATGTCACAAAGCTAATTTCCTTTATAAAAACTTGTATCAGTTAAAGAATTTTGATTAAATAATTCAATAGATACTAAATTAATTTAATTTTTTTGTGTGTATATAGTGTTTATGCTTTATTAGTTTAGAATTAATATTATTAATAATTTTTGGCGCAATACTTTACAAATAAAATACTATTAAATTATCATTCAAAGATGGTTGTTATAAGGGAAGTTGTCATAGTTGTCATAATTCGGGTCACATTATGCAAACTAGATAAGATTAAAATTATGCATAAATTAAAACAATGTTCCCTTTTCTTTAAAATATTTTATGCCTCATTCCACTCTTAAGTTTTATTCCATTCCAAGAGTAAAAAAAAAAGAAAAAAAGATTCAGTTGTAAATAACCAATAACCATATCAAAACATTTAAAAAATGAAAACTTAAACATTCTTTTAATGAGCCATTGTATACAAACTAAGTATCCCGACAAAGATTTATTTTTATTAATAGGAGTAGGCACACAAAATTAATTTTGATGTATCAAAGCTCTCACTTTATAGTTTTAATTACATTGCAATAAATTTAATAAAAAAAATTTTGTTGCTAAACAAATACTTTTAAAGCATAATTTTGCTTTGTTTTTTAAAAGTAATAACTTTTACCCCGCTTTTTGTCAACAGGTCACAAAATGAATATAGCAAATCTAAACTGTAACAACCAACTTTTGACTTAATATCTTGATAAAATAGTTCTTGAAGTTTTGAAACTGTAAAATATTAATTTGGAACAAAAATTTCAGCACTATCTAAGCCTTAAAATGTGCACTAAAAGCAACTGTGCAAAGCATTTTTAATCTAAAAAAAAAAAACTTCAAACATTCAAAAGGTTAAAATATAACCATAATAAAATAAAATAACTTATACACACTTGTACTAGCTTAGTTTTACCACACTTGTACAATTTTAAAAAAGAATTGCCAGAAATTGAATCAATTAATTCAGCTTATTTTGAACCAGGACTCTAGTAAATTTTTCCAGTGATAAGCTTCAGCCAAAAAATATAATAAGATGATCATGATCATAAAGATGACTTAGAACAAAAACTTCACATTCTCCCTTTGACTTAGAATAAAAGAAATAAAAGAGAGAACAAAGTCTTTTTCAGTATAGTATAAATAGATTTAATAAATATTCAATATTTCTAAAATAGATATAAAGTCAATATGCGCTACATAAAAATTAATGTACAGATCAAAGGTTAAAAGCACCATATCATCCTAACAACAAAGCCGCATTTTCTGTTGAGTATAAATAGTTTGTCATTTAAAATTTCACAAAACATAAAAATCTAGGCTTTAACCATATGATACATACTTAGTTAATAAATCAGTCTTGTCTTTGCATACATAAGAAATCTTAGCAAAACACATTGGCTTGTTAAATTGCATAGTAAAAAATGTACACAAACTGTATTAGTGACTTGGCGTAGTGCTGGGCAGTGGGATTTGCCATACAATTAAATGGCTCTGTTCAGATCTCAGAGAGCTCCTACATGAGCGGTCAATTTCATCACAGTCATCATCTTCGTCTCCTACAAGAAGTGGTTTAAAAAATGTAAAAAACAAACTTGCTAAAACATGCAAATTAAAACTAAAAATTTTTTTAAACAAGGAGGCTATATAAGATTCAAGTTCAATACAAATTTACATTAAAGTAGATTTAGATAAAGAAAATAGGCAAAAGTTTGTAAAAATAAAAATTTAATAATTTAGAGTTACTTATTAATTAGATTTTTTTTAAAAAACAACAATAAATGCAAAGCCTCAATTAGAGAAATGAAAAACATCTTCGGAAAATGGATAAGTAAAACTTTTATAAAATATTTCTAATGTTTGTATTTTTTCCTAATTTTTTAAATAGAGAAAGTTTAGCAGATATAATATCTAAACGTCTGATTTTTAAAAACATCTACTATATGAACTGCTTAGACCTCACTTTAAAAAATATATATAAATTTCTAAAATATAATAATAAATGTAATAGTTAAAATTTTACAACTTCCATTTAGCCAAAAAATTTATTAAACAGAGAATTCGGTTATACCTAAATCTGATTTTTAAAATAAAAATAAAGATTAAAAAATATATACACATCATACCAATTCTAAAATCTATATAACCTTCTGCCCCAGATAATATATACATGTATTTGGGTTTAGAAGCTTTTTCAGATGAGTCATCCTCTTTATCATCTGAGAGTGACGTAATTGAGTTCATATCACCCTGACCTAAACATGAATAACAAAAAAAAAGGCTATTAAGGTTATTGGCATAAAATTTCTCATAAAATGAAAATAATACAGGGTCCCAATATCAGACATTTAAATAATCTGAATTCTATTTAATTCAAAATGGCACACATCAAAATTTTTTATGAATAAATCATTAAGTCAAGTTTTTAAAGTTTATCAGACTACAATTCCTTTTAAAAAAAAAAATTTGAAAAAAATATAAAAAAAAGATTTTTTATTTATTATTAAAATGCTACATATGAATTCATGAATGGCATGTGAAACTGTGAATCTTATCTAATATACATAACATTACCTATTTAAATATGCTAGTTTCCCGGTGTGTAAACCTGTCTCATCTAAGCAGCAAATATACATAATATACATAGACAGGTGAATGTCGCTGGTAGAAATTTATTGCCATCGTGGATAATATTTTAGTATTATTCATTACATATATTTATACACAAACACATAAATAACGTGAAAAGTAAAATTCCGCTTCTGCTACGAAGAGTTCAAGAAAAATGACAGAAAACCTCTAAAATGAAAATATCTGAATTCTAAACACGACAAATAAAAGATCTGTAAGCCAAACATTGATCTTTGCTTATGTACCAGTAGCAAAAAAATTTAAAAGATATTGCAGAAAATTTAAGATTTGTTGCTAATAATTTAAAAACTTTCAAAAAATCAGTGATAAAAAAAGGAGTCAACAAAAGTGTTGAAATTAGTTACAAGAGTCAATAAATTGTTCACAGAAAGTTTCTCATCTAAGCAGATGATGAATTAGCATAAATTACCTGCTCTCCATTGTATTCATATAAATCTTGAAAATATTTACATAAAAAATGTTTATGCATTAACTTTGATCAGCTTATTTGGTTAATTACACAATTTATTTATGAAGAAAAAATGTTAGATAATATACATAAGGTCAGATAAGCAACTGGTAAATTATCTCCAAATTATAAAGGCATTTCAGCTGTAACAGAATGGCATTAGAAATAAAAGTAGTAATTTTTATTTAATCTCAATATAAAAGAAACGAATTTTCTACAGATACACCCAACTATAATACACACAATAATAATCTGGGAAATAATGTGGGAAACAAAATATAGGACTTAAATGAAAGTGGATATAAATACAAAAGAGGAAAAAAGTGTCGCTCTCACTCTAACAACAACTACTTAAAGAGAGTGTGCTAACAGAAAGCCGTACAAAGGAGACTGCGCAACCCAGTAAAAAGAGTTATTAAAAACAAAATTTAAATTTTTTTTGAAAAAAAAAAAAGGAAAATTTTTAACTTATTTTTTGAAGAAACCATAAACTCAAACTTTGAACATCATAGGAAGCATGCAAAAGCATTTTAAGAGAAATCATAAACAAAAAAAAACGGGCAGTATTTTCACCACACCTTTGGAGAAATAGGTACTTTGTAAGGCTTTGCTTTCCATCATACCTGGAACGGCAACAAAGAACTTGACAGCATCTTTATGACCATGGAATGACAGTTGAGCTTCTGACATCGAACAATAAGGTACAAAAGTACCAGGCATTAAGTTGTCTTTGTCATCATGATATACCCGTATAGAATTACCTGACAGTTGAGCATCTTCACTTAGTCGTTTTCGGCAAGCTGTTGAAGTAAAACAGAATTTCATTAAATGCATATAGACCCAAAAAAACTTTTCTGATGTAATTAATTGTTATAATTAATATTTAAAAATGCAGTTTATATTACAAATAGATACTAGTGAATTTATTAAAAATAAATCTCAGATACCGAGAGGGCAATAATGAAAAGAGGCAAAACAAACCTTAACAAAAGTAATGAGAGGGCATAAACATCAGATATGCATTTTTCCTATAATAATGCTTTTAAAACTGGTATAATGTATCAAGCAAACATATTTTAATAAAATCATTTTTTTAGAAATGCAATTTAAATGTATACATTCCATTTAAATTGCACTTCTAAAAAAGCTACTCATTCAGTATAAACCTAAATAATATTAAAAAAAATATCCAATAAAAAATTTAATTTAAAATCGCCTTCTCACACTTAATATAAACTTACTAATGAAAAAAAAAAAAATTTGAAAAAAATTATGTTTATCTAAAGGAGCACTTAATTAAAATTAATATATTGCTTTAATTACATGAAATACTTCGCCATAAGTAACTACTTAAATTATTATCTGATGCTGAAATGTGCCTTTGTTTCAGTTTTGAACTAAATATTACATCATTCCCAATTATTATTACATTAATCATAAACAAACATTAAAAGTATATTAATATAGGATTAATAGCATAAAAAAAACTCCTCTCTTCCTTTACTTACAAAAGACACTAAGAAATATTCTTATTTATTTTGATGACATGCATAGGTATACACATTTGGGAAGGTCAAAAAGGGCAAATTTAATGTTTTCAGTGAATTCGGAAATTTTAATAACTTTTTTAAAAAAGAATGCCACCAAAATATTATTATATACAGTGAATTCGCGATAACTCGAATCTGATAGGACTGACGAAAAACTTCGACATATCGGAAGTTCGACTTATCGTTAGTTTCGGTTTTGGACTTTCAAAATATTGTCGGATTATTTAATTAATGCTTATTAATTACAAATCTTCTAAATGCTTACAGTATTTAAGATCATTTTTCTGACAAGCCATTTACGATAAGACTGTTAGAAGCACTTTATGATACCCTGGTCCATCGGCTGCAACTTTGCTGTTGTGTTTGGCGGGAGAAACTGCAAGTTTACTGCTTTCAAATTAGGTAGATCACTATGCGC